AAAAACTTTCGTTCACCAAGATGCATTGTGGTCTACCTTGGGTAAAAACAACTTTCGTTCCCCATGATGCATTGTGGTTCATCTTGTATAAAAACGTTTGTTTACTATGATACATTGTGGTCCTCCCTGGGTAAAAACGCTTTTTCAACATGATGCATTGTGGTCCATCTTGGGTAAAAACAACTTTTAATAAAGCTAAAACGAACAATTCCTTTGTTCCTCTTATTTCCAGGATGTTCCAATAGATCACGACCCAAATTTAATGGTCCTAACCACCAATCCCTCCGCACCAACACTCGGCGAAATAAACTCTGGTCATAAGTACTGACGTCATAACAGATACATTGACGTCATAACAGCTACAGTGACGGCATAATCACCATGGTGGTCAACGTAGTACAATGTATAACCTTGATTCTTTAGTTCATAGTTAATGGAGCGGAATGGTTTGGAAACTCCATAGAACAAAGCTATTGTTTTGCGTTTGAGGTTGAACCATACCATCACGTGATACTGACCGTGCACAATGAACCAAAGCAAGTATGGCTAAAAATACTCACTTCCTTATTATTTTCAAGTATGAACATTTTGAAAGTGAAAACTTTCATTTGATGACCACAAACTATGCGGATAAATATTTCCACGAAGATACAGTTAAGTTAYTAGATGATAAATAAGAAAGCATGAAAAAAGGCAATTTCCTTTTCAATAAACATTAGTATTAATCATATAAGATTAATTAACAAAAAATAAGTATTTTACAACGATTTTTTAGGGGAACAAACGGAGCAATGTTTCCTTCTCTGTGCACGGTCAACGTCATATAACAATGGATAAAGTCGAACAAAAACCTAGAACAATAGGTTTCCCAATCATTCCGCTCCATTAACTATGTTTAGTTATGGCAACCAACATGTCGTGTTTTTTCATATTATAAAAGGGAGACATGCACTCCAGCGAACATTTCTTTTGTCAACATTCTCACCCTGCATCAGCGCGATGAAGGATCTAAATCCGCAGACCGTGCCTATTCTCACATTCCACGTCCCCCCTGGAACAACTGGTGACAACCTTATTCGCCAGCTGGTCATAAATACCAGTCTTAAGAATATAACATTTCATCACCTTCTTCGTTCAAACGCTTTTGGAGGACTCGACGGCGCTCCACTCTTCTCCGGAGCGATGACAAGGCCGGCTGAGGCTATTGCTCCCTGTCGCCCTCGGAATCGCTATGATCCAATACGGTATTATACCTTACCCAGGATGAGTCAATCGACCTCTTTAGCTTCGTTGTTTGTTGTGCACATTTCAGACGATGTGATGCCACTCTTGGGAGTTGATTCTTTCATGTGTAAATATTTTAACATGTTTGTCATAAGAGAGCAATTCTCAAGGGAATTTCATGTAATCTGAAATGGATAATTTGCATACGAAGCCAAGGCTGCGTTTATAATGTATGGCAGAGGGGGGCAGGTGAAAATTTGAAATATCCAGAATAATTCTTAACACCCCCCTTAAAGTCATGCAAAAAAATAGGATCCCCCGCAGCAAGGCTTGTAGCTTCTTCCAACAATTATGCATCCCCCCCTTTTTCTGATAAAAATTTGCCCATCCCCCCTTTTTTCTACCAACATTTTCCCAATCCCCCCTCAATTTCACCTTTCCTCCTCCCCCTCTGCCATACATTATGAACGCAGCCTAAAGAGGTCTGTATGATCCCTGGAGTGATGGTGCAGAGTGAGAATATACCACTATTTTAAAAAAGGCTGGTGAAGGTTTTGTTGCATGATGCCTACTTAGCTTGAAATGTAGTGGCGGATCCAGGATTTTTCAAAGGGGGGTTCCGTTTCTTAAACTGTGTATAATTCTCTTTTGTTTACTCCGCGTCTGACAAAACAATTGGCTCTAATCACCTAATTTACTATCTAGTAACGGAACTTAAACGGTAAATTAAACATTATAACAGCAAATATTTATCATTTCGTGTTCAACATTATCCTTGTGGATACTTTTAAGCAAAATTTATATAAGACATATTTCTATTACCTAAAAGATCAAACCTTCAAGGGGGGTTCCGTGGAACCATTCGAACCCCCCCTGGATCCGCCAATGAAATGTATCACATTCATGTATTAAAAATGATGTCAGCACACGAAATTATAGCTGAGAAAACGTGCAGAAACGTTTAGAGAGAGAGAAAAATATATATTTTAGAAGTTTCTGGTTTTGATTTTTCAAATTTCAAGAATTCAAACAAAACAAAAGCCAGGTTCAAAGAATAGAATTGGGATCTGGTGTAGAGTGTGTGCAGCCATGTGACTACAAATCCCTTGAGACATGAATAACAATGAAACAGCCGTCATCTTGGTTGACCTAACAAGAGAAGCTAATGAAGAATGCTTTGTATCGTCAAACAAGATGGCGGCCATGACGTAATATGCACCTGCTCTATAGTGTTTACATTTTTTATAAGTGATTTTTTTAGACCAAATTTATAGAAATAAATATGAAAGTTTGGTTTGTGCATTGATTGATGCTCCTGGTTCTCAATTCCCTTAGCGCCATAGAAAAACCAGTTCGTGCATAAAAGATAAAGTAAGTAAGTAAGTAATTTATTTATTCACGTAGACACACAGGAGCTTACAATAAAGTCTCGTTAGACCGTGCACGTGCTAAACTAACATCTATAAAATACAATATAGATAAAATTATAGATCTAAAAATATTATGTAAGTGTAGAAATCTATGTAAGAATATACTGAACCACCCCACCTAAACCAACCCCACCCCTACCCACCCAACCCAACCCCAACCAACCCCACACCTACTCGTAATCTATAATTTAATACATAATAGAAATCCATGTTCAATTAAAACCACCCCACCCTACACCTATTTCGTGAAACCATATAAACCTAAATTAAAGAAAGAAATGTTATGAACTGCTTCAACAACCTTAAAATTATCATAAATGTAATAACCGAGCTTTCGGAATCCAGTAAGCGCTATCATCAGGGTAGAGTGCACGCACTAAATCCGTGAACATTAATTAGTACTAATTAGTACTATTTCATACAGAATCCTTTGTTTTCTATTGTTTATTTATCACCATTT